AACAAAGACATTTACCCCAGAATGTTTATTGCAGCCCAGTTCATAATTGCCAAGACTTGGAAACAGCCCAGTGCCCATCGACCCATGAATGGATTAACAAATTGTGATGTATGTACACCATGGAATACTATGCAGCCATTAAAAGATGGAGACTTCACATCTTTTATGTTTACCTGGGTGGAGCTGGAACATATTCTTCTTAGTAAAGTATCTCAAGAATGGAAAGAAAAGTATCCAATGTACTCAATATTCTATGAAATCAATATATAACCACCTACACACTCATATGACTGATAAAGCATAACTGTAGTCCAGAAAGTAGGAGGGAAGAGGAGGGAGAGGGGAGGGGAGGAGGGAGGCCAGGGGGAAGAAGGGTATTTGGTGGGACTTCACCTAACATGCATAATGCAATGGTACCTTTCAAAACTATTAAGAAAAGAGTATAATCGTCTTACCGTAACAAATTAGTAAGCCAGGTGATGGATATGTTAATCAGCTCGACGTAAGCATTTCACATTGTATATCAAATCAGTACACTGTACCCCATAATACATCAATGTACACAGTTATGATTTAATAAAGAAAAATATTCTTGGGCTCAAGCAATCCTCTTGCCTCAGCCTCCGAGTAGCTGGGACGATAGGTACCCACCACAACACCCAACTGAGTTTTCTGTTTTTAGTAGAGATGGGGTCTTGCTCTTGCTCAAGCTAGTCTTGAACTCCTGACCTCAAGCAATGCTCCCACCTCAGCCTCCCAGAGTGCTAGGATTACCGATGTGAGCCACCACTCCTGACCTGTATCCTTTATTATACTATTTAATAATAAACGAGTAAACATAAATGTTTCTCTGAGTTCTGCAAGCTGCTCTAATTAACTGAACCCAAAGAAGAGACCCTGTGAACCTGGGTTTATAGCTAGTTAGAAGCACAGGATGCAAGCACAGCTTGTGATTAGCATCTGATGTGGGGGAAGGCTTGTGCGATGGAGCTTTCAACCTGTGGGATCCGATGTTATCTCTAAGTAGTGTCAGAACTGAATTGCATTAGAGGACAGGCAGCTGGAAAATCGTCAGTGTGGTGGGGAAACCTCCTCCATATTTTGGTAACCAGAGGAAAAGTGTGTTGAATTGAGTGAATGACAATAGTAAAATCACTTTGGTTTGGTTTTTCCTATATTCTTAAAGTACTTTATACTTTTAATATGTTTATGCCTTATTTCTTGATTCAAAATCTATAGACATAATTTTTAACTTTATAATGTTTGTAGCTATCCAGTCAACCCTTTAATTCTCCATCCGTGGCATGAATTCCTAACTTGTCGTCAATACCTTTTCCTTTTGTAAATATTAATATCATTTACATTCTGTTCTGTGAACATACTTCAGATATTTTATCAAATCTGAGATGCCATCAGTTGGCATGGTAAACCATTTATTTTATGAAGTACCAAGAAAGAAAATATATTATTGATTATAATTATAAGATGTCATTAACTGTAATATCACAAATGGTAAAAATGTAAAAACATGTTTTAGAAATGGTGAAACATTGTAATTAAATCTTTTTTTATCACCTTTATTCTTTTTTTCTTCTTCAAGACAGAGTCTTAAGCTGTTGCCCTGGGTAGAGTGCTGTTTCGTCACAGCTCACAGCAACCTCAAACTCTTGGGTTTAAGTGATTCTCTTGCCTCAGCCTCCCAAGTAGCTGGGACTACAGGTGCCCGCCACAACACCTGGCTATTTTTTTCTTTTTTTTGTAGTTGTCATTGTTGTTTTAGCTGGCCCAGGCAGGGTTTGAACCTGCCAAGCTCAGTGAATGTGGCTGGCACCCTACCTACTGAGCTACAGGCGCTGACAAATAAAAGACTAACTTCTTTATTCTGTAAGTTATAAATGAATAAACCATGCTTAAATACACAAGATTATATAATTATCTTTTGCTGCAAAGCTGACTAATAAATTACGATTATACTTTCTTTTTTTATTCATTGTTTTCTTCCCCCCCTGCCCCTCATTTTTTAAGAGACCATAGGTTACAGTAGTCTTGAATTTTTGGGCTCAGGTGATACTCCCACCATAATCTTCTGAGTAGCTGGGACTACAGGCACGTGCCACCACACTCAACTAATTTTCTAATTATTTTGTAGACATGGAGTCTTGCTATGCTGTCCTGGCTGGTCCCCAACTCCTGGCCTCCCGTGATCCTCCCATCTTAGCCTCCTATATTGGGATTACAGGCATAAGCTACTGCACCAAACCTCTAAATTCCCTTTCCTTTTGTTGTCCTGTCTTCACTGTGGTCTCAACTTTCTTCCCCGGTTTTCCATTCTGTACATCTGTTCTGTTAAGATTCTTTTTATTCCCCTTGAGACCTTACGCCTGGACTTCTTCCTGCTGGAACTTCTCTCTTCCTTGTTCTGTGGGTTGATATATACTTTCCCCCTTTTCTTGGCTTGTTTTGTTGGTTTGTTAAACATGTCCTCCTAAATTAACTTCCCAAAGTTTCTGAGACATTCCATTTCTGAAAATGTTTTTATTCTATCTTCCACTCTTATTTAGTATTTTAGTTGGATATAGAATTCCAATCTTAAATTCTGGAATGTTGAAAACAAGCCTCATTATCATTATTATTCCTCATTAATTTCAATGTCATTTCTTGTCTTCTAGTAAACAGGGATTTCTTCCTTCTGCCCTTGCACAAAAAAGATTCTCAAGGAATATCCTCATGTTCTGTGCATAATTCTATTTAGCTAGTTCTCAAATAGATGATGAATGCAAGGAAACATTAATTTCATATATAACGTTTCTGAAATGCTACAACATTTGAACATGTAAAACTCAAACAACAGACTTGAGGATGTGTTGTGTGCTCTAAGTCCGCAACCAGGGTTTCTCTCAATATTTCTCCCCAATCCAGCAGCTTCATGGGCCTGAGAATAAACCATATGAGTGGTTTTTCTATTATCCCTGGCGATTTACTGATGTTTATTGCTTCTTTCTCCTGTAACACTGAACTCTTGGTTCAGAGGTCTTAGTTCCCAAGGCAGGAATGCCTTTACTAAGGGACACCACAATGAATGCTTCAGTTAGGCTTGAAGTGGAGACTGCCACCTGGCCACCTGGGCTTCCTCTACTGGCTGGAGTGACTGAATGATCCTGATCGTCAAGAGGTTGCCACTGTACAATGGGAGTAAAGAGTATTTCTCAAAGTCGGAGGAAACACTGGTGCATTATTTTAGGAGGTCCCGTGACTAAAGCCAATAGAAAACACTATAATACAGGGAGGACTGGCGATGGCCCAGACCCTTCAGGAATGAAGGTTTGGGTCACTCCATCGTGCAAAGAACCATGCCCAGCTTAGGTCTCAGTGAAGGCCAAGGAGTGAGTAATAGAGAAAGGTAGTTATAAAGCTGTCTATGACCATGTGACTAGTAGCAGAAATAAAGACTGTAGTCTTTACGTGTATTTTCTTCTTATTTTGATACAGATACATTTGTGTATATATTAACTACTTTCCCCCCTTCTCCCTCTCATTTTTCTACCATCTAACATGTGTTACTAGTCATTAACCTCAGTTATTTGAGTTCTAGGATATCAAGGGGAGGATATTATTCAGGCGGAAGGGGTATGAACATGTCCAAAGTTGGATAAAGGAACTTCGTATCCTCTTTTGGAAATGAGACTATATTGATTTTGTTTGTATGAGGGATAGTTTTATCACGTTAGGTGAAAACATGATTTTACTATTGTCTTTTTTTGAAGTTAAATATAGTTAAGTGCAATATATATAGATGCCAAGTTGATAGGGCATGCAGTTTGGTGGCTTCGCACTGTGCCAACAGCTTATCTAAGATGGAGCTAAAATGCTCAGAATTCCCTTCCCTGTACGGTTCTGAGCTACGTGAATGTAGAAGCCATCAATGAAGGAGCAGTTGTGTTTTTCACCCTCTGAAGGTTGGTTCAGGGCTCTAAGTTGGTGGGAACAGTAGCTGGCACTGTTACTAATGTGCTAGCTCACTGTGTGCAAGTGGGGTGGCAATCAGGTCTGTGGCTCCTCCAGTTCCCAGAGCGTTTCTGCGTCCAGCTTTCCACTGAAGGTAACCCATGATGTTGAGGTTGGAGACGGTAAGACAGACATGGGTTCCACTTCTCCGTCAGGTTTTCCTTGTCCTCATCTACATTACGCTTTTGTCCTCTGGCTGAGTTACAGTGACTAGAGGTTTGGTACTATAACTAGGGGGTTCTAGTCCTTCCTGTAAGGCAGGTACAACATTATCAACTAATCGTTTGTAGTCCCTTGGATATTTGCCTGGCTCTAAAATGAACCTGAACTTACTGGTCTGCCTCTATGAAGTAAATGTTTGAGAAGAATTTTCTCAGTCTTGAGAAGTGTCCTTAGCGCATCAAGGTGCCCACCAGCGCCCCCTATCTGTAGACCCTCTGTGGCCCACTGTCCGTTGAAGTTAAGTAGAATCTCACTTCCCACCTGGCAACCCAGGAGTCAGCACCTGCATTTTTATGTGATTCTCACGCAGGTTAGAGTGTGAGAAGCTCAGCACTTAGCCCACACTGGACTCTGGTCCTCCTTTCTTCAGCAGACATGAGGGAGAGACCAGAATAGCGGAAACAGCCGCGTCAGGAGCAGTTGTGCACCCAAGGATCCACTGGGAACACTCCTCTCCCTGCCCAGGAAGTTCACCCTAAAGCTAGGCTGCCTGCAGGAGAGGACACAGGTCCCCTGCGAGCTGTTCAAGAGGGACAGGAACGAGAGGAAAGCAAGTTACAGGACTCCAAAGACCCGGTTTGTGTAGGTGCCACTTTCCCCCTGGTTAGCACGCAGCTTCGTCACGAGTCAGCTCTTTGCTGCCTTCTTTTCCGTTTGCATTTTGCCCCATCTTAAAATGTCACCCTAGAGCGTCGCCACGAATTAGAAAGTCTAGGTTGTCAAGGACTGAGTGTGCTTGTTTTCCAGCCGTTCCCTGCTTTTATGGCGTAGTCATGGTGAAACCTGAGTCATGTGAAGAGGTGGCAGTGCCAAGGAGCAGGGGCAAGGAGCTGCAGACGAGCCAGGCCCGCGACGAGTTTGGGGGTCAGTAACTGTGGAGCCCCGCAGGCCGTCGCCCTTCAGCCCGCGGGAGCCACCCCAACCGTCCTGCTCCCAGCTTCACGGTGTTCCGGACACCTGCAGCCCACGTGTCCAGAGACGCCAAGAGTAAAGCGCCTCCCAGCTGTTTCTCAGGGTTCCGGATAGCAACACCTAACTTTTGCACATCCCGGAATTCTTTTCTTCTTTTCCAAGTTAAGAAACCATAACATTTCCTTGGAGAGGAAAGCAGCATGCCTTAATTTTTGCTTTCAAGAAAACAAGTTTTTCTCTGTCCCCATTCAGGTACATGAAGCCACTGCCCAGGAAATATGACTGCTTGGCGCGCGTGTGTGCGCGCGTGTGTTTGCTGCTTCTCTCAAATTCTGACTCATAGTCTGGAGGACAATGATTGATTTTTTTCCGCTTCACATAGCTGCTGTGAATTTCTGCTCACAAGGATGGGCCTGTTTATTCACTCTGGGCATCGCTGGTGCAGCGCGAGTGTAAAGAGGCTGTGGGCTGGGGAAGTGGGCGCCGGTGTTCCCCGCGGTGGGCTGGGGAAGTGGGCGCCGGTGCTCCCCGCGGCCACTGGGGAGCGGCCAGGCTGGGGGACCGCGTTAGGAGGCTGCTGTCTACCCCTGGGATCTGCGATGTTTGCCAGAGCCCAGAAGCGCCATTGTGATGCGGGTGGGAGGGGTGGAGCCTCGAAGTCCTGTCTGGATTTAGATATCTCACTGGGCTTAGTCGCGCCCATTTCATTACTAAACTCCAGAGTCAGGGTAAAAAAAAAAACAACCGGGGAGGAGGTGGCAAGCCACACCCCGCGGTGCCCGCGAACTTCCCGGCCCAGGTCCGCGGCGCAGGCAGACGCCGCCGAGATGCAGGGCGCCCGGCTGCGGACCGCCGCCCAGCTCCTCTGCCTGTGCGCCGCCGCGCTGGCCGCGGCCCCGGGGTAGGGACGCGGGCGCTGGGGGGGGCAAGGGCGGAGGGGCCGCGGGCGCCCGGGGGGCTGCGGGGCGGCGGGCGGGTCCCAGCTCTGGCCTGCGGGGTGACCGCGCGGCGCTTCGCTGCGGCCCCGCCGCACAGTTACTTTCTGCACCCTTGAAGCTGATCAAGCTGTCCCAGGCCCTAACAACTTTCTAAAGAGAGTCACTTTATTTTTAGTTCACGTTGCCTCTGCCCTTTGCGTCTCAAGTTTTTGCTCCCCGAGGAGTGACTTCTTTTCTCAACGATGTGTATCTTTTCTGAACAGGATGTCTCCACTTTGACATTGACAAGTGTGGCTGAGGGACAGAAGTGTGGGTTCGAGGGCAGTTACTGTGGAAAGATAGCTAAGGAGAGCGCCCCAACAGCGGGAAGCTGCGGTCCTCAAGAGCTTTGCCCAGAGCCCTAACCCTCACTTCCCAGCAGGAGAGGTTCTGCTTCAGCGCCTTCTTAGTCTCTGCTACACTTGGAAATTTCCCCATTGCTATTTTATTTTCAGATGGGCTATTTCCATCAATGGTATTGGTTAGATGATTATTTTCTTCAGTGCATTACCAAGCACAAAAATTTGAATAAGAAACAGGCAAAATCATAGTTTTTTTTTTTTTTTCCCAACCAAGAAAATAGCGACGCTGGAATGAGGTTGTCTGTACAGGAGACGCTCAGAGTTATCTGCCAGTGGCTTCTCAGGCCCCAGTGCAAAGCCACTTACACCGCGGGTCCTGTGCAGTGCGTGGTTTATAAAATGGAATTAATAACACAGGCCTTCCTCTAAGGTGGGGCATGAATTACTGCATGACATAGATTGATGGGAATTATTGTTTCGGGACCGTTTCAATGCAATGGCTAAGTAGAGCGCTGGGTGACGTGCAGTTGGCACAGTAAGGAGGGAGCCTCTATCTCACTATCTATGAAATGTCAAGGTCGCAAAAGAAAGGAGCCAAGAGGATAAGGAACTTTGTTTTTCCCTTTTGGGGGACTCCTTAGGCCCCAGTTTCTGGTGACAGCCCCAGGGATCGTCAGGCCCGGAGCAAACATAACTATCGGGGTGGATCTTCTGGAACACAGCCCCCCGCAAGTCACCGTGAAGGCAGAGCTGTTCCAGGTGGCCTCCAACCTCAGTGTCTCTGTCCTGGAAGGAGAAGGAGTCTTTGAAAGAGGTAAGAGCAACAGCTTCGAGTCTTACCTTTCTGTGGGTAACTGGAATATGTTAATAAGGCCCTGTGTTAGGTGGCAGAACAGAGACCCCAACTTTGCAGCGGACTTTTAATTCTTACTCATGGAAAGTCCCAAGTGGTGTTCATGGGTGGTCTTCCCAATGGAGATTCAGAGATCCAGGTTCTTTCCATTTTGTGATTCCATCGTCATAAATGGGCAGTTCCCAAGACTGTAGGGGAAGAGCATGGAGTTACCCACGTGTGAGGTTTTTGTGGGCTGACCTAGGAATGGCTCGGGTCAGTATATTCAGTCGGAAAAGGAGGCTGGGAAATGTAGGCTGCCCTGCACCCCAGGAGAGGAGATGCCCGAAGTTAAAAGCTCCTCTCTCACACAGAACCACGTTTGTGGGGTGGAGAGCATTTAACAAAGTAGGCCCGTGGGAAAGCGAAGAAGAACCACACACTAGTTTAAAATCCAATTTTAGGGGATACTTCTTAATTTTTAAAGTAACAGGAAGAAAATAGTATGAAAGCAGGAGGCCTTTATAAAAAAACGAACATCTCTTGTTTCAAGTTTGGGTTCTTACCTGGACCAGGATTAAATTGGGCCAATGAATGTCTTCTTTTTCAATACTAAGGGAAAAATGATTTGGGAGGAAGGGGTAAATATTTAAATTTTAAAAATTAAAATCAACATTTATTGTTTATTGTATTTGTTTTTTTTCTATTTGGAAGAATGATATATACTCAGAACTTGATAAACCCAAATCACTCATAATCCTACCATCCAAATATAAACACGGTCAACCGGAAGCATGTTTGACTGTTTAGTCAGCAGCTAGAAATTAATGCATAAATTCCTATAATGTTATTTTTTTAAGAAAACTCACTTATGGGCACCTAATGAGGGTGGATGAGATTTCAGAACAGTTCATTCTGTAAATGTGTATTCTTTGCCAGCATAGAGAAATTAAAACCAGCATGAAATGAGATAAAAATAAAAGTTCATCTCTATTTGGGGGTTTTTCCTCACAGGACGTTGACTAGGTGGGTAAGTTTGGGGAGAATCGGGGAAGACCGTGTGTCCAGGGGCCAGGGGGGGCCTCCCTAGAGCAGTGGCAGGGAGGTGTGAGACTTTGTGTCTCTGGAGAGGAAGTGTAGGTTAGCCCTGAAGATCTGAGTTTGGATCCTGGCTCTACTACTTGACTGATCTTGGGCAGGTTCCGTAACTGCTCTGAGCCTCAGTTTCCTTATCTGTAAAATGGAGATGATGAAGCTGCCTTCCTGAGGCAGTTGTAAAGTTGAAGTCAGTGTGTACTGGCTGTTAGCACTCAATACACAACCGCTAATGTTATTAGCAGAATAATACTGCCCAAGATGTAGAAAGCATCATTTCCTTTCTATGTGAGTGTAGCCCTCAATTTTAGTTATTGAACTGTCACGTCTGAAAATAAAGGAATCGTGGTCTTATGACAGTAAAGGACATTTTGAAATACTAAATCACAGGACATAATACTTGAGGTAGTTCCCCATTCCTTTGTGTATAAGTTTGTGCGAAGGTGGCAGTTTTGCTGTCATGCAGAGTTCCAGTATAACCCGCACGGGGGATTTTGGTAAATATTTAGTCTCTGCTTGGACTTTGACTCTTATTCTAGAATTTCTCCTGTTCCTGTCTTTTCTGCAGTCTCCATTGTCAGTCTCTCTTTGCGCTCTTTTCTGTAGCAAATGGTCCCTGCTCTGGGACAAACGTTGCTGTGGCTTGGTTTTTAACTTTTTGCTTAGATTTTCCTTTTGGGGGGAGAGTCCTCCGTATGCCCCTTGGGAAAGCTCAAGTGCTTAGGAGTGGGTTGGACCATGCCTCCTGGGAGAAGAATGGATCTTTGAAGAAGAAAGAGGGAAAATGCTCTTTCATGGACTGTTTTTGACCCTGTTGACATAGAGTGTGGTGGAAAATGCCATTGCTAGGAGCAGTGTCCCCTTTCAAAGGAGAATGCTGCTTCCATATCAGAGACCGGGAGTTATTGTTCTTACAGCAGATGCTTCCTGTGATGTAGAGAATTTAAGTATCAAGATTTTTCTCCCTGTTGTCTCCACACACTTTGCTTTATCTGACTTCTGCAGTTGTAAAGATGTGGAGATAAAGGAGGATTTCTAACTCAGCAAGGGCTGGGTCTAACTCAGCAGGATCTGGATCTAACTCAGCGGGGTCTGGGTCTAACTCAGCAGGGGCTGCATCTAACTCAGCAGGGTCTGGGTCTAACTCAGCAGGATCTGGGAATAACTCAGCAGGGGCTGGGTCTAACTCAGCAGGGGCTGGGTGTAACTCAGCAGGGGCTGGGTCTAACTCAGCAGGGTCTGGGTCTAACTCAGCAGGGGCTGGGTCTAACTCAGCGGGATCTGGATCTAACTCAGCGGGGTCTGGGTGTAACTCAGCAGGGGCTGGGTGTAACTCAGTAGGGTCTGGGTCTAACTCAGCAGGGTCTGGGTCTAACTCAGCAGGGGCTAGGTCTAATTCAGCAGGGGCTGTGTCTAACTCAACGGGGTCTGGGTCTTCACGAGACTCATTTTCTTCCCTGTCATATAAACACAAACAAATAAATACATTTAAATATTATTGTTTCATCATTTTCTTAGGAGGGCCCTCCCAAAAGTTTGGCTTTAATAATGATTTACCTTCTGGCAAATCTGGGTAAGAAATGGGAGACTGTTTTTGAGTGGCTCGTTTCCAGAAATCCTGGACTTCTGGGTGGCACCTGTGGTTCAAAGGAGTAGGGCTGCCGGCCCCATATGCCGGAGGTGGCAGGTGGCAGGTGGCAGGTTCAAACCCAGCCCCAGCCAAAAACTGCAACAACAACAACAAAAAATCCTGGATTTCTTAGAGATCCCTGGAGTGGGGTAATCTTTTACTATAACCAGAAAGTATTTTAGGCTTAATTTGTGTCAGCAGTAGTTATAACTAAAGGGTTCAAATTACAGAATATACTTTAATAAGTATATTCTGAAATATACTTATTAAGAATATTTAATAAGGGACGCATGGCTTTCCTCAGTTCATTTGTCTGTTTGACAGCTCTGGGGGAATTGTATTTATATTTCTTCTCTTGGGGCCAGCAGTATTGGTTGCATTATAGTTATTTGTCTTTTAATACATCAATTCTGCATTTATTGGGGAATGATTATGTTATTTTTTGTGAACAATAGCCTATAGCTCTTTAGAAAAAGTATTTCTATTAAACTTAGAAGAATTCTGGGCTTGGTGCCTATAGCTCTGTGGTTAGGGTGCCAGCCGCATACACTGAGGCTGGCAGGTTCGAACCTGGCCCTGGCCAGCTAAACCACAGTGACAACTGCAACAACAAAAATAGCTGGGTGTTGTGGCAGGTGCCTGTAGTCCCAGCTACTTGGGAGGCTGAGACAGGAGAATCACTTAAACCCGAGAGGTCGAGGTTGCTGTGAGCTGTGATGCCACGGCCTTTTACCGAGGGCCATGTAGTGAGACTCTGTCTCAGACAAACAAACAAATAAACAAAAAAACCCATAAAGAATTCTGTAAAGGCATATTAATGCCTCCGTAGTTGTGAGATTCACCAGCATCACCATCAAGCCCATCATCTCCGTAGTGACTAGAACAAGGTTCATAATAGCATCCTCTTTTGTACGAACGAGTTAGTTATGTAAACATGATTGTGAAAACATAGTGGGAGTCCAGCAGGAAATAATTACCAGAGGGGGGAGATGGAGAAGCTGTTGGCACTTGAAATCGAGTCACACTAGAATGGTGGGTGGAGATTGAGTCTGTCCCTTTCTCTCTTCCTTTACTGGGTAAAAACTAGAAAAAAATGTTCACTATTATGGACACATAATAGTTGTGTATATGTATCCATATTGGGTTTTATCTCTTTCCTTACCATGAGGTTGCCCTGGAGTTCCATGACAAATCCAGAAAAAAAGAAAACAAGTTAAGGACATTTGAATCCACAGGTCATAAGTCAAACTATCTTCTGATCTGTTAAGGCATATGAATTATTTTTGATGTCTTTGAAACCACAATTTCTGTTTTATTTTCTCCTGTCTTGCTACAATTTGAAATTTTTATTTGTAAATTTTCAGTATTTTTCCTGGACAAGATTTACTGCAAATGTCAAGGAATAACACCCCGCACCCTCCATTAATGAAGTCATTTTCACTGGTGTCATATATACCTGATTTAAGAAAAAAACTTAAACTGAACAAGCCAACCAAAAAAATGTGAGGACTGTGCATGGGCATCTGTGCTGAGTGCCTGCTGGTCCCAAGGCCCCATTTACTTTTTTTTTTTTTTGCAGTTTTTGGCTGGGGTTGGGTTTGAACCCACCACCTCCAGTATATGGGGCGGGCACCCTGCTCCTTTGAGCCACAGGTGCCGCCCAGCCCCATTTACTTTCTTATGATGCCAAGCCCACTTCCATTTCCCTTTGGGGTGCTGGGCTGAGGCGTGCTCCATGCGTGTGCCTATATCGCTTACTAACTTGCTTTTTCTTTTTGCCCTAAAATCTTGGAGAGTTAATCGAGCGTCAACTTTATACATTTTTAAAATTCAAAATCTGTTTTGTCCTTTGTTATCTTTCTCGCTTCCACTGTGGGATATTTTATTTTCTCTTTTGGTTCAGTAAGAGTGGGAGATTTTAAAAATTTGAAATACTGGCTGAAAACCTTTTCAAAGAAAAAAAGTCACCCGTTCAATTAAGATGGCTTTGTTTCTGGTGGAGACGGAGCTCCTGAACGTACCCTTCATGCCTCCTAGATCAGAATCAGTTCCGTGGGCTGTGCGAAAGCACACTAATTAGTGTGGGGCGTGGGCTCATCTCCCAGGGCAGGTTTTTACAGGCAGCTTTGCCAACAGAACTCTGTCTGAACCTGTAGCTGTGTGAGAATTATTTTTAAAGGGTGTGGGCTCTTCATTCACATGTCTCTGCTATTGTGCATCATACGTGTTAATAGGTAGGTGGTGCCTGAGATAAAGG